TCCTCTTCATTTTACATTATTATTCAATATGTCGTACATAAAGTTTAACACTAGAAAGCAATTAGGTCCTTTGAACTATAGATCCGGCTGAAACATTACCTGCACAAAACAAAAAGAACTAGCTGGATAAAAATCTGTTCTGTCCTCGGCATTATTGACAGAAATATATTGATTGATGGCTAACACGGTACAACAATGTACTAATGTTTGCAGCTCAAATAGAATACTAGGAGGGAGTTTGTCTGACCAAAAGACAAATTAAAGGCTCATTCACACTTTGACGTTTTTGTGCGTTGTGCTAATGTACGAATGTTGTGTCACTTGTCAACGTGGTTTGAGGTAAGGCAGCCTGTTCATTTTGAATGGACTGGCAAAGCACAAGATGGGAATTGAATGCATGTGAATCAGAGTTGTGTTGCCTTAATGCGTTGGGGTGCTGTTTAAAATGAATAGCACCGCCACTTACTAATGCACGTAATGTGAGTTGCTGCATCACATCACATCAGCAAGTTTTGGCCCTAAATCTACTGAGGAAACCTATATTATAGAGTCCTGTCAGTATGTACCTATGCCTGGTTCTCAACGACCATGTTTCCCCCGAAAATAAGACCTACTCCAAAAGTAAGACCTAGCGCTATCTTCGGAGATTTCTGTAATATAAGACCTACCCCGAAAATAAGACCTACTTCGGCTTTTACGGTACATAGAAAGCTGCCTCTGAAAACTACATTTCCCAGCAGGCAGTGGCACGGCCAGTGGGGTCAAAATGAGGTCAGGGGAGGTGAGGGAACTTCTGACTGGTCCGTGCGACGAGGTGGCTCCCTGGACGGCATCAGAGAGGAGAGCTCCAGGACAGCTGCAGCCTTCAGGTACTGTGTGATACAGTACATTCCATATCTCTGCTCTGTGTGACACCTGTGTGCCTCAGCCTCCACAGCATATTGTATCTCTATTATTTAAATTATGGTAGAAAAAAAAGTATGTGGAGGGGATGCTCAATGGGGGGGAAAAAAATAAGACATCCCCGAAAATAAGACCTAGTGTATTTTTTTTTTTGGAGGGGGGGAATATAAGACAGTGTCCTAATTAGGGGGAAACATGGTATCACTCATTTGGACGGACTGTCCCTCTTTTGGAACCAGGTCCCTTCATGCTTTTTTCCGCCTCAGTTGTCCCTCTTTTTAGTCTGATGTACAGACCTCTATACAAATGTTTTTAATTTAACTAACAAAAGTGTCATAATACACTAAACCTTTCATCCAATCACTAAATGACTGCATTTGGTTTGAAAAGCCTGCATAAAGGCCCATTTGCTCCACCATGCCCAGTGGTGTGACCTGCGCCTTATCATACGTTGATGGGCATTTTGGCTGCAATGCACCTTAATACATGACAAAACAGGGCTTGCTTCATGTTTTTGCCTTGCCGTGTAAATGACATTTTGCTTTATGATAGGTTGTGGTAAAGCACAGCTGCACTGATTAAATACAATGTGATGCCATTTAAAATGAACGGCACCACATCGCTTATACAGTGTGTTACCGATTGTTGCAGTAACTTGTGTCTTTTATGGCCCGTTACCGCAGCAGGCTTTTGTGAACGGACCTGAAAATAAAGTGAGTTTACCCAATCATAACTTGTGTATTTATTCCTCATGGTGTGTGTGATGGGGGGAGGGGTGGCAGGGATGGGTCCTTTGCCTACATACTTCCTGTTAGATTGTTTTGCCTCTCATCTCGGACATCTGGGAGGTATGTATACGTCACTATGGGGAATATTTATTGATACAATGGCTTTCCTGATACAGAAACATCTTTGCAGTCGATCTGCATCTTGTAACCAGCTGTTCTACAAATAGAAGCTGCACTATACCCTCCAGCCATATAAACCAGAGCTCCCCAAATTCCATGGAAAGAGAGGCAAAGGTTATTTCTACAGTTATCCAAAAGTAAACACCTGACTCTGACTCCGGCATGTGGTGACACAGAAGTTCCACCTCACACATCCTTCCACATGCAGCAGCAACAACATCCTCATACTGCTGATTACCATAAGCCTCATTCTCACTGAGCGTTTTGTACCTCCTTTTCTGCTCAAAAAAATGCCCCCCCAATTCCTATAGCAATGTTCGCATCTGAGTGTCATGTCGCTTCAGCAAAATGCCCGTAGCTTAAAGAAAGTACATGAGCTTCTTTTTGCTAGATTCTGCGCTTCTTTGCCCCGTGTACTTCAATGCAAACGCATATTTTAATGCACCTTAAACACACATTAGTCCATGCACATCAGTTGCCGCAATCTGCTCATTAAAATGTGAGACTTTATGTATGCTCGTTTAACGCGCATGAAAATATGCAATAACGCGCAAAAGACATGCTACACAGAATGCGCTGAAAAAGAGCACATTTAACGTCGCTCAGCGGTGGAGGCGTAAATGCCAGCATCTATCTGAATGGATGATAACTGAGATCAAGTAATACTGACGTATCGTGACGAGGAAGAACATTCAGATTACAGTTGCGTTAAGGTCCAGTGCTTAGTAACCATAAACAAGGTGCAAACAATCCATACAGCACAAACCCTCTTCACCTGCGAGCCAGGTAACGTTAGCGGTACAAGAACATTTGTTAGGAAAATGAGTCAGGCTGAACCCGGTCCAAACCTGAGCTTCCTTCTATGTCAGGGAAATCCCCACCCATAGCTGCACATAAGCAAAGACGGAGGATGCAGCGACGTCATTGACCGTATATGGCTACATGCCTATATTTGGTACATTACCTAATATGGCTTTGTGGCCGTATAAGGTCAATGACATCAGCACAAGCATCCCGCCCCTTTGTTTACATGCAGCTGCGAGGTGGGGAATGACTGGCCTGCAGCTGATTAGGTGGAAGTGCCCATGGCACTTTCTTGTTCGCAGGAGCTCGCAACTCATCCCTAAAAGGCGTCTATAAAACTACAATGATGTGCAAAATCATGTAAATCACCTATAAGCATGACGAGCTCATTTAAACCAGTGTTTCACTAAGGGCACAGGATCCAGGCGTTTAGCGCAACACTACCACACGTTGAGTTCATTGTCATTTATTTACGTGCTGGATCCCTGTAGTTTAGCGCACCACTGTGGTATGAATGAGCCCTAAGGGGTATCCTGGATAAGACTACATGCAGCCAGTCTGTATACTACTGACATCATCACCATCACGACTTACCAAAGCCTACAAGAAGAGGACAGGGAGGAAATCACACTCTAGTTTGTAGTCCCAGTGAATAGTGTCCAGCCTGATACACTCCCTGTCCCTATGTTATGGAGCGGGGGACATGAGCAGTGACAGGCAGGTACTGCATGCAGGGAGCCTGTTACACACTAGAAACCAGTCTTATCTGAGTGACTCTTTATCCTTCTTTAGAGAAACAAGTCAAATCATTTCACAGCTTCCTTGCCTGTTTTCCTAATAAACTTGCACTTGTTTGGAACTCTGATTAATGAGAATAACATAAGTACAGATATTTAGGAATACAAATTCTCAACAAGTGGTACCCAACAAGCTTTTCTTAGGACTCCTGCAGTTCTTCTCTTTCAAGAGGAGCTTGTGGACTTTTACTTACCTGGTCCCCGCTCCCCAGCAGTTAGCGATCACCTCTCTCCCCTCCACTTTGGCTGGTGAGCTATCCCTCGTCGTTCTTTATGGGCCTTGCATTAGACATGATGACATCAGAGGGTTTCCAGTTGCTGGAGTGAAGGGGGGGGGGAGGTTGCGGGTGTTGGTCTTGCAGTCAGCGGGGATTAGGTAAGTAAAAGTTCTTTACACAGAACCCCTAGACATTAACGAGCTGTTAACTCTTGTAGTGGGGGGGAGATCTTTTATCTGGAGATAGGCTCCTAGGTAAGGATTGGATAATATTATCGCTGTGACATCTGATTACATACAGTTTTTTCTGGATCTGGTGGACCCCATGTCAGTCTATGCAGAGTCAGATGTAAGCAGACTTGTGCCAGTTTACATCAGATTATCCCCGATCCGGCACAATCAGGTCCCGTGAAACAAAGCTCTAAGCCTGGCCGGAGTCGGGGGTAACCAGGAGTAATGGACGCCCATCTGTTTAGACCCGGCTGTCCATAGACTAGCATTCTGCATCCAATTGGGTCCACCTGAAAAACTGACAGGCAGACCCGTTTGGACCGCCTGTGCGAAAGGGGCCTAACAGCATATTCCAGCTTTGGGCCATGCTTTCATGTTAATGTTCCACCCATATTTAGGGTATAACATGGAACATGGCTACATTCTCCAACCCCTCACCCTCAGCCCATCCCCTACTTACCTGAATTGCGGAGGGGTTCTCCTTGCAGCATTTTGCCTTCTATTTAATTTGCGGTGGCTCCTCCCACACAGCCGCATCATCCATTCACAGGGATCTGCGGATGGGAAGACTACAAGTCCTATCTGCCACCTTAGCAGAGGGACTCATAGATGTCAGTGGAGCACAAGTGCCGTGACGGCACCAGACTCGCAGTCCATGTATCCCATATTGGTAGGCACGTTCCTACAGACCTGGGGCTGGGATGTAAACCATACACCAGTACCTGTGATGGTGGTTGCGATGTTCTGCAGGCGTGAATGCAGGAATGGATTTATTAACGTGTGTGCATGGATGACATTCTGCAGGAGGTGGCCTGTGTGCTGCAAGGAAGGAAGATCCTTCATCTTGTTTTGATGTTTCCTATTGATGGCAGTGTGGCCCCCGATGTCACCCTGTAATAAAGAGCTGTATTCTGTATTTGTCCATCCGCCCCGCCCCCCTTCCCCGGCAGGGGTCCCGGTCCATCTATTTAGGGATGCTGAGTGAGGCTGACATGTCATTAGAGATGCTCAGGCTGTCCCCCTCACCTGTGCCCGCCGCCCCTCCCCCTCTCTGTCACCTAGATGGCACAGCGGGGCCCCTGCCCGCCCTGTACCGATGCCCGGCTCTCACCCGCCGCCAGCCCCTCCGGGTACACTCACCCTGGCCGGCCAGTGCGGGTAACCCTTCATCTTGGCGAACACCAGCTCTCCCGCCTTGTAGTCCCGGGGCCTTGGCCGAGCCATTTTGTCCTCCTCCAGCCCTGGCACAGATACACAGACCTTTCCGCCCCCTCCGTCCTGCGGCAGCCGCGCTGAAGATGATGGGAGGCCCGGGGGTACCGGAGACAGAGAACTCCCCTCACAAGAGCCCCTCCGTACACGGGAACAGGAGCTTTCATACACAACAGGCCCTTCCCCCCCTGACTGTACCCCCAGCTAGAACCAAACCCCCTTCTCCTCCTGTCACACCGACTGCCACAGCCAGCTCTGTGGCGCTGCGAGAAACAACACAGGGCTTCTCCCTGAACCGGTGCGGGCGGCGACCTCAAACAAACAATCTCTGCTAGGTACCGCGCGCGGTGCTTCGGCTGCCTCTGCTGGTGTTTCTTTTGGTTCGCGGAAATTCCTTTATGTGAAAGCTGATAGGGGGCGCCTGCAACCAGCTACGTTCATCTATATGTTAACTCATCAATCATCTGGTCCAGTCTGTACCTCTGTGCAAAGGAGCTTACAGCCTACTGTCCCTCCCATAACTGACTACTGAAGGACAGTCAGGGCCAGCTAAAGGGCAGCTGATTCCCTAAGCACAGCCCAACCATGGTGTCCCCCTTGGAACCTCCATTGCTCAAAACAAGTTTATTCTGCTGAAATGTTTTCATTACATAACTTATTTTAGATGCAGTCATATCATCACTAGGTCTGTGTGCATCTCTATGCAATGCAAGCGTTGCATAGGATGGGAGGGGCTGCCGACTTCCCTAGGTAATGCCCACATGTAATGCTGACCCTCCATAATTAATGAAACAAATCCAATAAATGAAAGGGACGGGTCAGAGAGGTCAGGCAGGGGAGGAAAGTCTAGATGATGGTGGATGTCCTCCAGTCAGGAAATGAGGTGAGCTCTGTCTGACTTGCTGCAGCTTCCAATGGGCAGCCCCTGCCCTATTCAGCCACCAGCTGGGACATTCCCATGCAGACAGCTGAATGTATACAAAGAGGGTGGGGATACCGGCAGACATCATTACCCAAATATGGCCCATATTTGGTTAATGTCATCAGCAGGCAGAGGCAGCTGAAAAGGGCAGGAAATGCGTTATTGATTGCAAGGACCTAGCCCTTGCAACCAACAGTGTCCTAGCAACCAAGGATGCTGTGTGACTCAGGGGCTGAACATGGACTGATGTCATGGCTGGCTCTGCCCAGTTGTTATTGTTTAATGACAGATCAGTGTCACCAGGTCATTTGGGGACACGCTGATCAGTTATTTGGGCTCCGCCCAGCTGTCATTTGCATGGGAATCGGTCGGCTTTGGTTCAGCTGCTGTATGGGCTATAGTGAATAGCCCATACAGCAGCCCTTCGGTTCCATTGATCCGAAGGGCTCCGGCAGCTGAAATGAGCCGAAGCTACGGCTGGATCCTTCGGCTCATTCATGAATAACCACCTAGATTTAATAGCACCCTTTACACTAGGGCGCCACACTGACATTTGTTGTTGGAATTCCAGTAAGTGCTGAAAGTGAAGTAGAAATGTATAAACCTTCAGTTTTCTTCCAGCTCAGGCCCCACAACCATATTAAATATACATTTTGGAGGGGAAGGGTGGGATCAGTTAGCTCAAAGCAAAGGGGCAGAAAGCATAAGTTCATTTTGGTTATTAAGGGCATGATAATTAGGGTATAACGCTGTGGTGCCCCCTTCTCTTGGTGCTTATTTTGTTTAACCATTTAGCTGCCAGGACCATTTCTGCACACGTTTAAAAGCACATTTTTAGGTCTGAAGATAACTTAAATCCCCCAGAGTTATGTATTTCCTGAAATCAGAGACCCTGTAGAATAAATGGTGGCAGTTGCAATTTCATGATATCAGCGCGCCTCCTTTATCAAACCCAAATTTTCGGTTAACAATAAACATAAATTAATTTAGTGCACATAAACACAAAATGTTACCCATTGTTTTGTAAAATATGAAGATGAGCTTGTGCCGAGTAAATAGATACCAAACATGTCAAGCATCAAAATTGGCAGCACCTGTGAAATGGCGAAAAACTATGGTACTCAAAATTGTCCATATGGGACATTTTAAATGCTCTTACAGGTAATTAGTTCTTACACGAGTAATGGCCATAGATACCTGTTACATACGCGTGGCACAATCACGGTTTTCATGGGTAGGCACAACTGACATGTGTTTCTGTAAGTATGTGCGTGTATGTGGGGACGATGGACTTTTTTGGAATGTTTTTGTAATTTTTTTATATTTTAAAACTAACTCTATTGTTTTCACATAGGAGGCTCACAGCGAATGATTTTGAGCCCTCTGTTAAATCTTATTGGCCCTTTGACCATTTAATGGAGAAACCAAGTGTATGATGTCAGCATGAGGTTAAACCATAGGTGCTTCCTGACTCATTAAACAATCAACATCTGCCTTGACATATTTCATGACACTATGGTGATTGGACCAAGGTGACAGAGTTACCCAGGGCCGGACTGGCCATAGGGCAAACCGGGCACTTGCCCGGTGGGCCGGGCCGGCCCGAACACAATCAGCCTGATTGTGTTCGGGCCGGTTTGCTATGCCTGATGGTCGGCTCTTAGCAGAGCCGGCACTACTACACAGTAGACACTAGAGGGAGCTGGTGGGGGAGGCCAGAAAACACTTCCTCACCCCGCTATCTCTAGTCTCTACTCTGTGCTCTCCTCTCCAGAGCTGCTGGCGCTGTTTCTGTCCCCTGTCCCGGCCGAGATATTTACATATGAATGGGCAGCGATGATTTGCATATCAATAAGCCGCGGCCCATTCATATGTCAATATCGCGGCTAATTCATATGCAAATCAATGTCGCCAACGCCCCCCCCCCTGCTAAGGAAGAAAAAAACGGCCTATACAGAGACACTGACAGAGGAGGCGGGAGGCGTCGCCGAAGCTCCAGTCGGGCGGCGAAGATGACAAGGAGACCGTGTCGAGCGCCGAGGATGAGAAGGCCGTCCAGTCGGGCGCCGTGGACAAGGAGGCCGTGTTCCAAAGAGGTCAGGCCGTGCAAGGTAAGAGGAAGGTGCTGGCAGAGCCCGCCATAGATTCTGCATAGCCCACCAAAATGTCTCAGGTGTGCTGTGCAATACCCTTTGGTGGGCTCTGCAGGATCCGTAGGGGGCTCTGCAGTCTGCAAAGCCCCCCACAGATCCTGCAGTCTTTGCAGAATCTGTGGGGGGCTTTGCTGGGTCTCAAGGGGGCTTTGCACGATCTGTGGTGAGCTCTGCGAGGTCTATGGTGGGCAGAGCCCACCACAGATCCTGCACAGCCCACCTGTGCAGGATCTGTAAAAATCATCAACCGTGTCTCAGGGGGGATTTGCAGGATCTGTGTCGGGGTCTATGGTGGGCTCTGCAGGGTCTCGGGTGGGCTTAGCACCCTGAGGCCCTGCAGAGACCACCAGAGATCCTTCACAGCCCACCTGAG